TTTATGTATTTAAGGACTTGTTTGAATAAACTTTTCTAAAATATTTTTGAAGGAGAAAAAAAACTTTCTCATCAACTAAAATTAGTTTATATATGAATTAATTTATAAAAAAATCTCTTTAATTAGTTTCTTCAAAATGTTAACTTAAACTTATTTATTATTTTATAAAGAATATTTTTTATATTTTTTTTTAGAGTGGCATAGCCCTAAGCATGTGGGTGTGCACGGATTAATGTAGCATGAGAAGTGGTTTGTGTGAGTAAAGGGAACTTGCTCCTGCGGCTAGGGTACAGATATAAAGTGTTTGATAAATGGCGCATCATGTGCATTATGATTATGAATTGAAGACAAAGCAAAGTTTTACCCTTTTGGAATGAAAGGGTGGCAAATGGCAAAGTTGCTCCATGTGGCCAAGCACATAAGGCTGTCAATGGACAAAACACGACAAATAAAACTGTAAAATGTGTCTAACCAGCTTCAACAATAAAAAAAAAACAAAACACGTTTTCTGCTAATGTAGGCCCAGAGATAAAAATAAATAAAAATAAATAAAAAAAGAATTACACAAATGTATTGTTCTTTGCATTGCTTTATTAAGTATCTTGGCATGAATTAGAAGACGAGTATATAAAACAAGAAAGAAGCTTTACCTCTGTTTTTTTAATTCTTTCAGTGAAAGTTCTTGCAACATTTTATTTTCATTATTAGATAAAAAGAAAAAAGAGTGTAGATTCTTTATTTTAGATAATTAATTCTTCTTAATCTATAATTTATAATATTTGTATTCACATACTCGTTTCAGTATATTGAGAAAAAAAGTTCACATTAAAGATCATCATAGTAGATAGACTTTGAGTAGGATACTATTATAATTATCCTCGTACTCACATTTTTTAAAAAACATTCCTGTCCAACCTTTTTTCTCATGGATATAATAACTTTAATCATCACTATCATACCCGCTACTTTAATAATAACTTTAATTTAAATATAAATTATATTCAAAATATTTAATATAATATAAATTATCAAATTTCATTGTTTTTTTATTATCAATTATTAAATATTTTTTTATAATTAAGTATTTCTAACATTTTACCATCAATATAAAAAAAATACATTATTCAATCATTCATTTAAAGAATTTTTTTAAAAGATATTTAACATGATTAATATCAAATAAATTTTAATTTTAAGAAAACGATGACTACAATAAAAATATTTGTCTATAATATATTAGAAGCAATGCACGTATTTGAAGAAAATATATAAATAGTTTATATAATCAAATATTTTTAGCAGTATATATGAATTATTTTTAAATTTTAATTTATATACACGGTCGTTGCAATTTTTTTTACGTGTAATAAAATTTAACTATTTTACCATATCTATTCATTAATCTGATCTTGCAATATGATAATTTTTATTGAATATTTATGTAAAATATTTTAAACTAAAATTGCATATATATATATATATTAAACTTTAATAATTTTTTTGGTAGTTCTTTGGATATATTTGTTTTTAAAAAAGAAATAAAGACACTTAATGCTATTACCTATTTTTATCCTTAATCTTAATATTATATTAATCACCATAACTTATTTTTCAATATATATAAATTTATTTGTGTGTTATTGTGAGTATAGAAGGGGTTGGTTACTATAATAGTTACACCTGCAGTCATCTTTATTAAAATCTGTAGGTAAATATTTAGTTTCGGACCCATCTCTATTGAGCAGGTATTTACTCGTTCTGAATATTCTTTAACAGATACCATAGAATTTGGATAGAGTTGATCATCCCTAGTTCACATGAACGGGAAACAGATACTTTAGTACGACAAGTAAGAGTAGGATGGGCCAACGAAGTGACGTAGGGTGGGCAGCGTTGGGTCAAGCTTCCCGACTTGGGCCTTTAATTGATTATTGTCCAACATTCATCGTATTATATTATTTCTAGGCTCAACTCTGTTACTGACGACAAAATTGCGTGTGCTTTTGGGTTATATTAATTGATGAAGCTTGCTCCGACAAGAAAACAAATCAGAAAAATAAGAAAGCTGAGTATAAATAACAACTTCTCTTCTAATATGAAAGACACTAGGCCCTCAAGTATCTTTCTTTTTCCTTCCCTATTTTACCAAAAACAAAAAAAATAATATCACATTTATTTATTTATTTATTTATGTAACATTCGATAAGTGGAGTCTAAAAGGGTTGCTAGGCTTTCGTTTTCAGGCAATTAATGTTGTTCTTGTTCATCTTCACTCTTTATTTTATTTTATTTTTATCGGAATAAGTTCAAAAAACTATAGTTCTGCGTTTAGTTAATGTTATAGGGGCCGTTTCTAAGGATGTAATTTTCTTCTTCTTCTTCTTCTTTATTTTTGGATTATTTATCTTCCTTTATCAAAATAAAAGTCAGCACTCTTCCTAACTAATAAGTGTTATGCAACAAATTATTCTATTTTCTAAACCAAATAAAAATTATTGTTCACTGTTGCATAATACTTAGTACATTTATGTGGCCTTGTACTAAAAATAATATGCATATAGTAGTCAAGCTCAAAAAATTATGACGTCTTTGCTAAGAAAATTTGAACTATACCTTCACAACAACGATTATTATTATAAATATTATTATTTGATAATTATATTATTGATAAGAAATATCTATTATTAAAAATAGTAATTAATTTTCGTTAAAGATCTCGTGTGTTTACAAGATAAATATTTTCATATCAATATAATCTATTTCATATTCAAGATCATGATTCAAACTTTGAAGATCTTAATTAAGAGATACAACTCGTTACAATTTATATTAATTAATATTGATTAACAACTGTTATTATAATTTATATCTATTATTTCTTAACTGAGAAAAAAAATCAAATCAATAACAGAATAAATTTAGATCATTGCTGTTTAGGGAATTAATTTTTTTTTCTTCTTTTATTTCTTTCTATTTACAATTCTCTATTACTTTTTATTTTTATTTTTTTTCTATCTGTTCTGATGAGAAATTGGTTAAAAATAATAATTAGCATCATAATAATATTTTTAAAAATAAGATAAATTAAAATAAAAATATCTATCAATAATAACGCATAAAAGATGATAGTAAAAACATTTAATTACACTACTATTAATGTATTTTCATTATAACTTATAATGTACCCGACGTGATTTTTAATAAAATTGTTCTATTTACTGTAAAAAAAAAAAATTGTTCTATTTTTTAATTTCTTAACTGATGTACGTTTTTTTTTTTTTTTTTACTGAATTTTAACTGATGTACTTAAAACACTAATTATTGAGATTTTTATTAAAGGTAAAAATAATTGTTTTATGAGACTTTCACTTTCCTAAATCAAATTTTTTTATGTCTTTTGAAATGCATTAAATAGGGAATTTAATTGGAAAACACTGTTCGTGTAAAGATTTTTTTTATTATTATTTTTTTCTATGAACAAAGTTGACGTAATCTTTCGACGATCAAAGACTAAATAAAAACTATTGATTTTTATAATAATTATTCAAGAAAATAATTTTTAATTAATTAAAGATATAATTTCTTTTACGCTACCATTATATCAAAATTAAACTCTTAAACGTGAGATATAGACAAAAATTTAAAGGACCATTCAAAAAAAATATATGCTGATAAAATTTTCATGAAAATCTAATGACAAAGTGTAAATAATCTATAACATTAATAAAGAAAATATCTTGATATCCAATTTTTTTTACTCCTTTACCTTTAAATATTCTTCAAAAAGTTATTATAACCAAATTTATAATTATAGATTTTCAACTAACACTTCTTTTTGAGTAATTATATGAAGGTTTTTAGCTTTTTCTTTTTAAGTAACCACATACCACCACTTCTATAAAAAGACCACTTTTTATTTTTAAAAAAACATTTTTTATTTAAATAAAATCTATAAACACAAAATATATCAACCCCAAGCGTGTAGTTCAGCGGTAAGGGTTGATCCACGCTTAAGCAAGCCTCCAACGTAACGAGGAGATTAGTCACTGCTATCGACGAACCAAAAAAAAAAAAAAACACAAAATATATCGATACAACTAATCCATACTAATATATATAAGAGATACTCTTTTCAGTAACTACCTTGATCTCCATTTTTCTTAACCATTATACCTTTTTATTTTAAAAAATTATAAAAAATATTTTTTAATCAAATTTAAAAACTTTAATATCAATTAAATTAATATATTTTTATTTTTAATAGAGGTACAAAATACCTCAACCTCACTAATATATATATATATAAAGATAGTATAAAGATTTTTTATATTATCATTCAATCATAAGTTAATGACTTTTAAAGTCATATGAATAATAATTTCGTAATAACTGATAGTCTAAAATTTCTTACACAACTAAAGTGTATAAATTAATCACTTGGACAATATGGACTTACTTTTGCAAGGGTGGACAGCATAAAGCATAAACAACCAATATTTAACACCCACAATTCATACACTGCCCTTGTAACAGTAGATATCTTTTTATCTCGCTTATTTTTTATAACATCACTCGTGTCGTGGCATAGTATTTCTCCTGCTCCTATCTCTCTCCCTCCCATGAACTTATACAACTCTTACGAATGTAAAACAATTTTTATTTAATCTTAAGTGCTCTCTGAAATCTGAATCTTTTCTGTTTCTACGAAAAGAAACAAAAAGAAACATAATTATATTATTCATATAATGTTCTTTTACAACACTTTTTAAATTATATATATATATATATATATTTTTTATCTTTTACAATAACATTAGACATTTTATATATTTCTTTTCCTTACCTTCCTATCTTTTGTTCATTGTACAAAAAAATTATATAAAATACAAAATACAATTTCTCAAAACAGATAACTATCATTTTCATTGCAGCTATGGCCATCGCCATTGCCTGAATTGCTCTAGCAACACCACTTTATCAATATCATGTAAATCGCAATCTTTCACTTTTATATTTCGTTGTCCTTCGCAATTAAAAAAAACCCTCTCCAACCATCAATAGCAGAGAACAAGACGTTGTATATAAGTAATTATTAAATAAAATACCCCTGTAAATGTAAACCTATTTTCAATCACAAGGATGGGTTAAAGGGTTATGAATATAATTTTTTTGTTTGAAAAAAAAATAATTCTTTTCATAGATATGAGAAAAACCATTCATAATATTTAACACTTACTATTTTTTGAGTTCTTACCTGTGCATGGTGTATAAGATAGGAAAATCGACATTTCTAATCTAACGAAAGTATAGGCTCGTCATAGAAGACTACAGTTGAAAGTACATATATTCATCTCAATAGAAAAAGGAGAAGAAAAAAATACATGAATTAAGTTTAACAAAAGGGAAAAGAAGGCCCCGAGGGGGGGTGGAGTTCAAACAAAAAATAACAGCTACAGACACTCAAGACTTCAAATATGGCAAACATCAAGTTCATCAGAGATCAGAAATTAATCAAGGTGATCTGGTTAAGACACTACGATGACATGCGTTTCGGACAAAAAAAATTCCATGACATTGAGACTGTCAGTAAACAAATTCACAAAAATATTACTATGAAATTAATTTTAATAATTTTCTCTAATGTCATTCTTGGTTTGCCTCTATTCCTTTTCACATGGCTAAAAATCAAGTACTCTCCTTGCTAATGTTTCCAGTGGCCTTATGTATAATCGAAGTCGATTAAACTGGTCTTTATCTTTTCTTCTACAGGTATCACACTAACATTTTCTCATATGCAATCATTTAACTTTTTCTTTCGATAGCCAAACATTCACAATCATGGAACATAAATAGTAGTATAGCCATACAGTAAAATTCCCTTTAAGCTTTGTAGGTGCTTTGTGGTAAAAAATCGCCCCCAACGCCATTGTTTTCTTCATATTTTAACCATCCAGTTTGTATCTTGTGTTTTGACATTTTACTAATTTCTCCATCTTTTTGCAATATCAATCCCAAATAAACATGGCATTATCTTATATTTTTACCTCCATATCTTTTTCTTCTTATTTCTTGCTAAAGTTGCCATGCATATACCTATATTACTCCTCGAGCAAAAATACTATGATTCCAAAATCTATCTCCAAAGCTCAAATTTAAAGTTAACCTCTTCCTTTAATTCTTCATTCAAAGACTATATCGTCCACACAAAACATTCATTTAAGAATAATCTTTTTTATATACCCAGTAAATACATCCAAGATTAGATTAAACAAGTACTAAGACCGAGCCTTAATACAAAGTTATCACAACAAAAAAGTCTCCAAGAAAAACCACACTAAATTATCACAACAAAAAAGTCTCCAATAATTCACACTGATAGTTATTCCATCATAAAGTGTCTTGTACAGTTATGAGCCCCATACTAAATGAAATAAGAAGCTTATAATGATACTTAAGCCACTAGACTAATGGACTAATCTTCTGAGTTAAACTTCTCTTGTGTCTAAGTCATAACAATTGGTATTTTTATTGAGGGTCAAGCTATTGAAAAAGCTAACTATAATTTAAATTAAGGTATAATGTACTTAATACTAATAGGTGAACCAAGTTGTCGATGTAAGGGGGAAAATGGCCACCATGAACATCTATTCTTAAAAGAGGTGACAATAGTAAAAATCTTATTCGAGTACAATAAGAAGTTTAATGTAGACCTAGTAGTTTATGTTTTGAAAGCTTAATCGTTTGTGTTCTGAAAGCTCTCTCAAAAAGTTAGACAAAAATAAAGCATTTTTATTTAAAATAACTTGGAATAAATATGCACTCAATCTTCACCTAGAGTACAGTGAGGATCAAGCTGGCCTCAAGTATGATACTAAGTCATTGTAAAGGCTCCCCGAGGATACATAAAACTATGGTGTGGGGATGACACCTCTGAAGACCTAATTTCACACGTCCAAGGAAAATGGAGACCTCTCAATGGGATATGTATGCTTGGTAAGGACACGTTAGGCTTCCTCTTGTGAAGGAGTTAATGAGCTTCAGGCCATGCGTGTATTTTAAGGTTGCACTTGCTGAACATGTTTATAGGTGAATTTGGGTAGTACTCGTGCACTGCAGACTGAATATGCTTGATAAATAAAGAATGACAGAAGCGATAATAGTCATGTTTAGGCGATAACGATGAAGAGGGAGTATGAGCCGGGTGAAATGGGGAAGGAGGGGTTAACTGTGTAACTGTGTATGAAGTTGCTCTTGCTCTCATACACCATTTACTATTACTACAAACTGGTTTTGAATAATAGCCAAAAAACTAGGCATTATAACATTATTATGTCTTCCCCTCGATATCAACTTACAAATCAAGCAAAAGATTAAAACTAATAGTTACTAGACAATATTAAACTTGGTGCCATGTATATACTACTGGAACCTTTCTATCATTTAATTTAATGTCTAAGACGCCTAGCCCCTTCTGCTTTATTTTCTAATACGAGAATCATATAACCAAATACACAGTCCATTCTGAAGCTAAAACACACAAGCAGCAAAAGACCAAACAAGTAAAGTAGAGTCTAATACAATGTGACATAGTGAGTGAATCATAATTATTAAGCATCAACACTCACGAATCATTATCCTGGCAAAAAGGCACAATTAAACAGAACAGAGCATAGCAATAACCTCGTCAAAGGCTTGCACTCTGAGCAGGAGGCGGCACCACATAATCAACGACGACCACACTCTCGATGTGATCCCTAACCTTATCCTTCTGGTAATTCACCAACTCCTGGTTCGAATCCACCGCCTCCAACTCACTCGCCCCGGGAAAAACCGCGAGTGAAGCAATCGAGAAACCCTTGGCCCTAGCCGGCGAGAAATTCTCCCCGAAACTGAAGTCACTAATCTGCTTGAAACTCTGGGGAATCCCTCCGACCACGCCCAGCACGTCGTCCTTAGCAGCGTCCTCCTTCAATTTCAAGAAGCTGACTCGAATCGCGGAGCCCTGCGGCGGAACGAGGGCGGAGAGGTCGTGGGCGAGCCAATCGACGGCCATGATGTCGTCGATGATGGGGAGCACGTGTCCCTTGACGACGCTGACGTGGCTAGGGTGCGCGGAGTAGGCGTCGAGATCCTCTTTGGACTTGTAGCGACTGTGGAGCATGTGAGTGAAGGTTAGGGATGAGGATCGGTTGCGGAGGAGTGGGCCCACGCTGAGGTGGAGGACCTGGTCCAGCGAAAGGAGGGAGCTCAGCCCATTCACCATCTCACTCACCTTCGAAGCCTCGGTTCCCTCTTTCACCTTGAACAGCACAATGTGCTCCACCGTTTTCGTTGACGTCATCTTCACGGAGGACCGTACCTGAACCTTGCTGCGGATGTGCTTCGAGGCTGAGAATGTCAGAGAAAACGGATGTGACAACAACGGCGTTCTCAGACACAGCATCCTACGCTTTCAACGATTGTGATTTCTGACCCAATCAATTATGACTCGCCTTAGAATCGAATCGAATCTACCTCACGCTTTGCACGTTCTCGTACATAGGGGCTGAGGCCCGTTCATTTTTTTATATGGGCCGAATGACCCAAACGAACTTAATTTATCATTAGAGAGCCTTTTTTTTTTAATAACTACATTCAGTGGAAGTCATTAATTTAATTTATGGGAAGAATTAAAATTCAAGATACACAGTGCAACCACACATTTTCCTTTTGGTTTTAAGTATACAATGATAGATTTAGAACACGACACCACGCATATCTTTATTGGTTTAGTGTAACAACAAGTGACAAGTCAAGTAATTGAAGAAAAGATAAAATATATTTTTCATTTAAAATATTTTTCAAAATTACTTTATCTTTTATAAAATTTTAATATATTTTTATTTTCAACATTTAAACAGAAATACGTGTTCTTTTAATTTCTCACAAGAGAATAAATATAAACTAAAAACATATTAAATTTTTATAGAGTTTAAAACTAAATCTTAAAATATTTTGAAGAAAAAAACATGTATTTTTCCCTTAAAAAAATAACCTTATGTTCGATCCAAAACATGTATTTTAAGAGAATAATGTATTTTTTTAGGGCCTTCATAATTTACTTATTTGGTCCATAAACTTTGTGTTTACTTCTTTTGTTTTAGATTTTCTTATAGAGACATTAAGAAAAGTTAATAAAACATTTGTTTTTTTTTTAAAACATCTATAAAATACGTACATTTCTTATACATATTTTAAAACAAGCATGTATTTTATTGACTGTTCATCTCTTTCAATTTATTCTTTTTCATCTCCATTCGTAAATTAATTTTTTATATTTTAAAAAATATGAAATAGCTAAAAAGATGTGAAAATCGATAAGATTGGATGTGAAAATGTAAAAATGAAGAAAAAGCATCCTGAGGTTATATTGAGAAAGAATAGAGATGTAGCGCAACCACGTGAATTTGAAATACCGAGATTCAAAATTAGCTCGGTATGAAGTAATGAGTGATTAATTAAATCACATGAATTTGTATAAATTATACAAATATGAACACACATATATATATATATATAGTTATATACATTTGTATTTGTGTTACATATGTTAAAATGTTTAAGTGATTCAATGGCAAGTAACCCATTTATCTTGTGAAAAAAAGTTGTCCATTTGCTTGTCGAGGAATGAGGGGTCCGTCCAAGGTTGAAACATAGTGACAAATATTTTGCATTTTCTGTATGTAGAGACACGACGTAAAGGTACATGCACGTGAGTGGGAATGATTACTGAATAAAACTTACAAAGTATGGTGTCTGAGTGAAAAATACAACTGCAGGAGTGGGATTTTAAGCGGGAAAATATAAGCGGAATAGATCGATGAACTAAATGTAAAATTAGCAAAACTACTACAATGTTAAACTTAATTTAAATTTAATGAACTATTATTCAGGCAAAATAAAAAATCGTTTGGAGATGATGCAGTAACAGAGTCTATGCGTGAGTTTGTTGAATGAGAGTACCATTTTTTTTATGAGGGAGAGAATACTCAAAATTTTGTCACTTCACTTCCAAATAAGCCAAATTCTACTGAGCCGTCACAATTTGACGTCATTGTTTAAACCAAAATTGTGAGAGGTGTGTCTGTGCAACTTGTGCTGGTGTGTGTTGTAATATAGTGTTGCATTCTGAGCGAGTGAGAAGAAAAACACGTGAGAAAAATAGTGTTGTAGTGTATGAACGAAAAAAATTTATAAAAATATGTGTCATTCTCAGTGAGAACTTATTTATTTATTTATTTAAATAATCTAGACCCCTTTTTATTTATCTAAATAACCAGGTTAGGAATGGGTTTTTTTTTAAAAAAATTTAAGTTCATTAAGAAATTAATTACTCAATTTCTCAAAAAAAAAATTATATATTTTTTCTGATTTTGAAAATTATAAAAAATATTTTAATTTATTTTAATTTTCAGAAATAAAAATAAAAAATATTTCAGTTTCAAATTCTGAAAATTAAAATAAATTAAAATTATTTTTAAATTTTAAAAAAACTGAAAACAAAAAATGAAAAAAAAAAAAAAAAGATCCATGAAAAATCGATTATCTATTGGGCCTGTCAAGTGGATCATTTGTGTGAATAAAAAGGGATCCAGTATATTTAGATAAATAAAAAAATTATATATTTATATATAAAAAAGAAAGTCTCTCAGTGAGAGGGTGCGTGATATTGTGAGACAAAACGAGTATGGCTGAGGAAAAAATAGAATATTCTAATTTGTAAATGATAAATGTGTTACCCCATTTCTGTCGATCAAAAATGTGACATGTTGCCGCATGTGATGTGCCTGTGCCTCGGAGGAAATTACCTCAAGCAGAATACTGAGAATCGTGTGAAAACATCTAAGTATTTTATTATTATTATTATTATTTTTTAATGTCTATCCTCTCGATCTGAACTAAATATAAGTTAAGAAAAATTTATTTACGAACGAGGATAAGTGATTGAACCATAAAAAAAATACTCTCTCTATTTCTTTTTAACTGTTACTTTTTAGAATATCTTTATTTTTATAATTTGTTTATTATTTTCAAATTTAAAATAATATTAATTATTTTCAATTACCCTCTTATTTTCCACTTAACTTATAATTATTTACACATTTACATTAATATGCGTGCATTTATTATAGAATAAAGATGAATAATATTATAATAAAGACTTCAAAACATAAGAAATGGAATTACTCCAAAAAATTAAGTAATTATGAAGATATTATTTCCACCCGTCCTTCTTAAAAGACCCAAATACCTACTCAATTCACTAGAAATCAAGGAGGTTAGTTTATGTGGTAGTTTTAAAATTATCGTTAATTTATATTTTTAAAAAAACTACAACTAACATTAATTAATGAGATTCTTATTTTACATCATATAATTTTTAATAAATTTTAACTAAAAATAATGAAAGTGTACGTTAGAGAGTATAATCAAAGCATAAAAAATAATTAAATTTAACCTATTTATTGAAATCAAATATCAACTAAAAGTATTGTTTAAATAAATTATTACTTTTACATTTTCAAGTAATTAATTTAAATAATACATATAACTTAGAATAACTCATACAATACATTCAATATATATAAAAATAGCTTATTAGATATAGATATCATATACAATATAATACATGAAATAAAATTATAGTAATTAAGTTGAGAATCATAATAATTAATTTAATTTAGAGTAAAATTATATATTTTAAAGGAATAATATAAAATAATAAAATATGGGCAATTGTATTGGTATATGTTAGTAATCTTATTTTTAATTTTAATATTTATATAAAATAAATAATTTCATTTTTTCAATTATTAAAATATTATATATTTTTATAGTGAAAATGATTATAAGACTGGGTTTTATAATAATTGTTTATGACGTCAATAAACATACAATTTTAATGTGATTACCGTTTCAATATAAATATTAAAACTATATCCTTTCTATTTATTTTGTAAAACAATAATGTTAATAAGTATGTTAAACGGAAAAATGTGTATAAAAAAAGAATACAAAAAGAAAATTGTGAATAACAATAAGAGTATAAAAAATGCACTAAAAATTAAAATAAATAGTATATAATCTTTAAAGCCGTCATGCTTTTAAAAATGTATAGGAAAATCAAATAAACAAATGTTTTACCAGATTCATTTTGGTTAGAATGTCGTATGGTTAAAAAAAATGTGCATAAAAAATAAAGACTACAAAAACAAGTCAAAATAGAAATGAAAATGAAAAGAAGTATCTATTCTATAAATAGAAAGAAAAATGTATATTAATATTCGTATTCAAAATTGAGATAAACTTAAACTATAAATAATTTTATTATAACTTAAAATATTTACTTAAAAATTTTATTTAATTTTAAATCATGCTATTGAAATACTAGTTGATGAAGTTGTGAACTTTATTAATTAACAAGGGAATGCACACGATTACAAACACAGAGGAAGAACCTCTTAACTAGTCTTTCTCACTAGACTCAAGGAGAAAGAATGAAGGTTGTTGGAGAAATCTATGAGAACTTCATGAGAGAACATGGGATGATGTTGGTCCGAAGAAGGAAGGCGATAATTGGTGGGTGTTGTTAATAATAATATTACCGTAAGTAGGTGAAATCATAGGTGTCTGAAAAATCTAAGTTGAGAAGGTCAGATAAGCAAACATCCCCCACGTTAAATTCCATGAGCAAATCCTTTGAATCGTTGGAAAACGACAAGAAGCCGTTGTCGTATTTTATTTGGTTACTGACGTCATCCACAACCCTAGTTGCTTCTTCCTCGGCTACAGCCTTGGAACTGTTAGGCACTTGCATTGCTGGGTTTATGAATAATGCTTTAGAACACTTTCTAGCCTTTGTACGGACAACGTGGGGAGTGGCCACGGGGGCTTCTTGCAACTTTGTTGGATTCTTTGGACCTGAAATACTCGTTTGTTCCTCATTTTTAACCTTTTTTCTTAATTTGCTATTCCAATAATTTTTTATTTCATTGTCTGTTCGCCCTGGAAGCCTCCCTGCTATTAAGGACCATCTGCATGCAAAATCAATCAAAGATTTAATTCCCAGCCATTATGTCCAACACCCTTCTCATGATTCATGTCTATATATGTACGAGAAGAACAATAATTCTATATTATGAAACAAACTTTGTTATTAATTTATATATAAATTTAATATCTTAAAATCATAAAATACATTAGAAAGTCGATCTCGTCAGAATTAATTAGTTACTCTAGAAAAATTAAACTTTTATTTATGGTGCATGTAGTAATGGAGACCTGTTGCCCAAAAGCTTGTGGAGCCTGATGATGAGCTCTTCTTCATCTGAGGATATATTACCTCTCTTGATATCTGGTCTCAGATAATTTAACCATCGAAGCCTGCAACTTTTCCCACATCTTTTCAAACCTGCATAGCCAGCCATCATTTTCAAAATAAAATAAAATATTATTGAGATTTACTCATCTCACTTTAATTTCGTACAACAAAAAATTATTATTATTATTATTATTATTATTATCATATATTTCTTTTTAACAAATTATTGATTCGAGTATTATTGTAAATTATTATTTTTTAAATAAGATCTCAAATTTAAATCTTATATATATAAAAAAATATAGTTGAAAATGAAATTCTACTAAAAATAACTAATCAATTTTTTTTTTTAAAAATAATCATTAATAACTATAAAAAAATTATATATATAATAAAAATTTATTGATACAAATTCACTTATTGCTTAAACCAACAATGAACCTGCACTTTTGGGAAGGTTTCTCCATCTTCCTTTACCATGGAGTCTGATGTACTCTGAGAGGATTTTGTCTTCTTGAGCTGTCCAAACACCTCTATTCAAGCTCTCCTTTGAACAACAAAGGCTACTCCCCATCTGTCTATCTATCTACAGGAGTCGGTGTGTGCGCCTTTCTCTCTCTCTCTCTCCTATAATTTGATGTTATGCTCAGGTTGATACTTAGCTTCCATCGAAGACACTTATATAGCAATTACTTTATGTTTTCAAGAGATCCACTCTTTATTTTAGTATTTTCTTAAGAGAAAAGTTTAGATTGGGACAAAATGTTATTCATACAAATGCATTAAGCATCAATTTTTTTTAGAATTACGAATTATTTATTCTCATTTATACAAGTTTATAAAAAAAATATAAAATACAAAAAAAAATTGGATTCAATCTCAAGTAGTAATTTATTGGAATAAATGAATTTAATCTATTGTGTCTAAATACACTTTATATATATATATATATAGACATAATTCGCATAATATTATAAAACTAAAAATCAATTACTAATTCGTATTTATAAGACATTTTTTTTTGCCGGCAAAATATTACAGGGGAATGACTAATAAGAATATATGATTAAATCACAAAATATCTCTGTACCAAAAAATATCACAAAATATTTAAATTATTAATCAAAAAAATTATAAATACCGTCATCACATTCACGTGCAATCATGGCCCTTGGAGTATTTCGATTGCATATGCAGTTAGCATTAGGGATGGCAATTGAACAGGTCGGGTACGGGTTTCATGATATTCGTTCCTGTTTTTGTGAGTTAAATCTATTACCGTCTCTGTACCTATACCTGTTGAGTATGTGATTTTTATTTCCATTTCTGTCTACGTCGGGCATCAAGTATACCCGTACCATCAATTTTTTTATTTTTTATTTTTATAAAAAAAATGATATTTTTAAATTATTTTTTATTATATTATAATTATAATTAAGTTATTTTTCTATTTTATATTATAATAAATAAGCACACATTAAAAAATATTAAAATTCTTTAATATAATTAAATTAAAAACGGGAATTAAATTAAAAACGGGTATTAAATTAAAAATAGAAACGGGGACAAGTACGGGTACGGGTACGGGACGGGTAAGTACATATCCGTATCCATACCCATACCTGATTTAAAATATCAGGTTTTATCCGTACCCGTATCTGTACCCGGTCAAACCGGGTATTCCTCGTCAAAGTCGGGACGGGTTCAAATATTACCTGCGGGCACGGATATATTTGCCATCCTTGACATCATTTGTCTCACTCGAAACAGCGTTATAGTGTGTTTGGATGAGGAATTTTAAAAATTTAAGAAATTTTAAATTCTTGGTATTTGAATTACTTTGATTTCAATTTCTATCATTCTTTAAATATTTTGTTTGGATGAGTCAATTCAAATTTCTTAAATTTTAAATTGTTAGGTTGAATATGATAATTTGATTCTATCATAGTAAAATTGATTTTAAAAATATATTTATATGTTGAGATTTTTAAATTAAATTTTATAAAAATAAATATTAATCCTTTTTTAAATATTTAATAATTTTAAAAATTAATATTAGATAATATTTAATAATTTTAAAAATTAATATAAGATAATATTTAATAATTTTAAAAATATTTTGAATATCCAATAATTAAAAGAATGAAGAGATAAGATAAAATATATAGGTGAAATAAGAAAAACAAATATGAGGAATTTCAAATTCTCCCATTTTTGGGAGAATTTGAAATTCTACTATTTTAAGAAATTTCACAAATGCTTGGATTTCAAATTCTTTGTAAATTCCTCATCCAAACAAAGCATTTCACCTCAAAGAATTTGAAATTCTTCAAATAAATGAATTACCCTATATAAATTCCTCATCCAAACACACCATTAGGGTTGGACGCCAACGATTTCCTATCCCTGCAACAACTTTTTTTTATTTTCTTTTAAGATATATGTAAAAATTCTCGTATTTAGTATATAATTTTAAAGTGTCATTAAGAAATATTATTTCTTATATTTTATTTATTCATATTTCTTACGGATTTTTTCTTATATAGGAGGGATAACAATCTAACTTTTTAAATTAAAAGAAAAAGTTTTACTAGACTAAAAACATCACGTTTTCTTCGTTAATTTATTTCATTTAGTAAATAATTAAATATTTTGATAAAGTTTTGTTAAAACTAAATGTAAAGATGTTTCATTCCTAAATATTATATATAAATATTTTTAAAAATATCAATCAAATAAATTTTATTCATTCATAAGAATTATATATAATTCTTGAAATTCTTTTTTTTATATTTTATACGTTAAAGTTAGCCTAGTGATTGAGATTTGAATAGTATATATAAGGTCTTAAGTTTGAATCTTGTTGTTGTCGTTGTAATTCATACTCACAAAAAAGTGTTCGAACTTAAGGATATATATGTATGTTAGCTTAACTTTAGCTACTAAACTAACTCTAATAATTTATATTATCTTAAGTCAATCTCAAAGGTCCAGGTTCTTATTAAATAGAAAATCACAAAACAAATCTCCAAAAATTGGACTTTTTTAGTACTATTAAACTTTTTCAGTTTAAGTGATGAAACCTGAGAAATTAGTATAAGTTGTCTACTAGGCACTCTAAAAGTCCTAATGTTGTATATACCTGATATGGTTATAATTAATAGGCCAATTAATTGTAATAATTCGATAAGATCAAACCACTTAGACTGTTCACTTTTATTGTAAGAGATCTTTGTAGGTTGATATATGTGATAACACATTAGTTACTTAAAGTTGTTCATGTTGTGAATGTTGTTATATGTTGTAAATTGTTGCACTAGTACTCTTGTGTTATTCTTACAAGTTAAAAAGTTGTGTTGTGCTATAAGTTGGTATTGTGTTATAAACTAGCTTGAATGTTGCTTGAGTTGTTTATGTTGCATAAGTTGAAAGTTTATGCGATGTTATTATATTGACTCTTTCACAAACTTGTCCTTTCTTTTCCTTGTGATTAAATTACAATTATCATATTTGATATATGAGAATAGGACAATGTTATTTTGATGGCTTGAATGTTGGTGGATGGTGACCTATTTTGTGTATACAACTACTTTGATGCAGTATTTATTGTACAAAGACGCTAATCGATAATAGGATTGTTTTGTTTACAGTTTCGTACATTTCATGTATATTGCATACATATACAAGATATGTAGGTAGATCCTTAAGAAACTTTATATTTTCAGTCGTATTGATAGGAATTGTTTTAAGTTTTTTGTATCCTATATATACTTATATTTGTTACATAAATGTTCAAGTAACTATTGCATAATAATTTTAACAGTCAAATAGATTATGTTTTTCGTTATTTAATTATTGTGTTATATTAAGTGTAATGAAATGTCGAATTATTACGCTTATAATATCAATCATTAATTTTTTTACCACTTTAAAAAAGCAAAGTCGAAAATTCTTTTTAGATTCTTCTAAAACTATTAAACAGTTTAAACTTAATAACTTGTCTCAAATTTTTAAATTTTTCTTAAAAAAAAAACTTTAAAACTTTTTAAACTTTAAAATTTTGTAAAATTATAAAAGTAGATATTTTATTTTTTTTATACGAAAGTATAATTATTTTTCATTATATTAATTATTATTATAGTCTGAACTTTTTAATTAAAAAAAATGTATTCGATGACAACTCTCTATATATAAGTAAGAGAAGTTTAATTTTCATTATTTAATGAGCATAGCGAAAATAGCAGAAAATCCAACACGTACTTAACTGTTAGCAGGTTATTTGTTTTTTCTTTTACACTATTTAGTGTCTGGACCTTCAATCTTAATACACGTTTCCTTTTGACTATGGTTACAATGTTTAACTTGCGGAGGGGAAAGAGAGAGGTCGAAACAGATGCATAAGAAATTTGATAGATGACTATCTTTGTAATATTTTGTATGAATAAAAAATTAACGGTGATTAACTGGCTTATACTATTTCAAAACTATCCATGAATCACAAATACGATCCTAGTTTTGGTCTGCTTTGGCACCTCATAAGGTCTTATAAACTGACTTTCAAACCAAGATCATGGCCATATGGAAAGTTTGTTGCAGTAGCCGCCGCCGCCTCAAATCTGTCAAGTATAACGGCAACCGTGTTAAGGAGGGGTACAAGGTGACACTCTTATTTTTTTGCTGCATGTCAACACCAAATGGCCAAGAACGTGGTTAATTTCAACCAACGTGTCCCTCTCACATTTATTTTTCTTAACTTTTTCTTTCTATTCTTGTAGCCACAGGTCCCTCTTTTTCACTTTCAACTTTCAACCCTAACTCCACTGTAATTTTCTTTCGAAAATTTTGCAATTACTACTTTATGCTCTATTATTTATATTTTTATTTAGTAAATTATACAACATTCTTAAGATTTTGTAAGCTTGTGCACACTATTTTGTTTTAGGTTAACATTTAAACTCATGTATAGGGATCAATGTTATATTTTTAAACAATTAAGTTAAGTTGGTATAATATTTAAAAAGTGTTGGTCTAATATTTTTTAAATAATTTAAAGGTGTTAGGTTGCTCTTTGTAGAGACCTGATATGTTCTATCTCTAAACAAGTCTTTTATTTTCTTGTAGTGTTAGTAAGAGGTATAGTCCAAACAAAATGCATTTTTTCTACAAAACTTCTCAACAATACGTTGAATTCCTTGACCATTTTAAAAATAAAAATAAAAAATCTTTCACCTTAACAATTAGGTTGTGTTTGGTATCTTTTAGAGCAGGTGTTTTGTTATTTTTACATAGAATAATAAAAAGGATTGTGTTTATATGAGCCAAAAATAAAGGAAGAAAGAAGAGAGAACGAAAGTGTTAAAATTATTTGGTTACTCATTAATTAAAAAGAGAATAAAATAATATTTAAAGAATAAATGTTATTTCTACAATAAAATATGCAATAAATTTTGTAGCTTAAAAAATATGAAATTCAATTAATAAATGATATGATAGAAAAAATAACTAATTAAAAAGTTTATATATATATATAATGAGTCTGCTTCCGAAATATAACCCTTTCAATATGGTCTACTA